CATTGCGCAAACCATTCCTTAGTTGAACACACAATATGGCACAAAGCACTATCTTGTTGGAAAATAAAATCTCAGTCAATTCCACATAATTTACAAATACATTATTTTGCAAAATCGCTTGATATTTTATTGTGTTAACTGTTCCGTTAATAAACTCTGGTTCTCCTAAACCATTAACAGATATATAACCCAATATCATTTGTCCTTTTGCAAATTTGTTTGAGACAATCTTTATGGAAGATTTCTTTCTTATTTCGAATCACTAGTTTTATGTATATATTTCCGACAACATTCATAACATTCTAGTACTAGAATGTCATGAAGCTTTGGCCGAAGTATCCATCAACAATGTGTCACCTTAAGATGGATCAAAGGTCACGCCACATCGAAATGTAACCGTCTTGCCGATTCACTAGCCAAGAAAGCAGCCAACCAAATACTTTTTGGACCTGGCCCTTCTATTGGCCTGACAAAATCGGTAGTGACAGACCTAATTAAAGAACATTCCCTTGTGAAATTCAAGGAAAGATGGGATGAAACAAGAAACTGCAGAGTTGCCAGGGAGCTCTTAAGTTATCCTGACAACACTGCAGCAAACAAATACTATGACTAGACAGAATCTGCGTCTGGTCACAGGCATTATGACTGGTCATTGCCAAGTACGGAAGCATCTCCATATCATGGGACTGTCAGAATCCGCACTCTGCAGAGGGTGCGAACAAGAAGATGAGACCATCGAGCATATTCTTTACGATTGCCCGACGCTCTAATTTGTTAGAAGATTTGTGTTCGGCGAGTATCAGCTAACACCGGCCGATATAAGAGAAGCACCTCTTGGCGACGTTGCCAACTACATTAAATCTGTAGGCTGGCTGACGAGCTAGGAGGTGCCTATCATCTGAGGCCTAAGTGCCGTGGGGGTAACCCAACCTCCACACGTTACAGATACAGAACACCTTATATTAAAATTGTTAGATTCTATTATGCAGTGATTTCTTAAGTGCTTCTTCGTTGTTGCTTGTACATTTTTACCATACCTCTTTCACATCCTTCTCTTATAATTTTTGCTCTACAAGTACTTTTACGCTTAATTTTTCACAATGTTTCCCCCTAAAATCGGTCCATTTTCAAATCAGTCGCTAGTTTCAAAAAAGGATTTTCTTTGTTTTTCATAAATACTTGATAATATTAGTTTACCGTCCCGACATTTACTTGTCAATAAAAAACGTGTAATTACGAAAAAATAAATTGTAAAATAAAACAAAAAATAACATTTTAATAATAATCGGTAGCTATGATTAGATGTTGAAAAACATGTTGTTTAAATTTAACAGTAGTTAACAGTAGAATTATTTCAAAGTTTAAAAACCTTGATTTATAAAAAAATCGTATTCTTCCATATACAGGGTGAGTCGGGAAGAGCGCACCAAACTCTAGGAGTATATTATACACGTGAAAATAATGTAAAAAAACTCGTATGTTCTTATCCGATTTTCATTTGTTTTCAAGTTATAGCATATTAACAAATAAACAAATTTACACATAAAAATTCTCTTATTCTAAATTTGAATAAGTATCTGGCATTTTGCAACACTAACAATCACATAAATTCGAAATTAAACGTCCAGTTACTGTTCACTGACAGTTCATCAAAACGTCAGAATTATCAAATGCCTTTGAGCCTTGAACATATAGCATACTTTGATAATGTTAAAATTCAGAAGTGGAAAGCTAGATGAACATTTTTAATTACGACATAACTTGAAAACAAATGAAAATCGGATAAGAACATATAAGTTTTTTTACATTATTTTCACGTGTATAATATAATCCTAGAGTTTGGTGCGCTCCTCCCGACTCACCCTGTATATATAAAATTGTTTGGGCTCGTAGATCGGGCATGGGTGTACCACAGAAGTCCATTATTGAGCAGTTAATGATTATTTGATTTATAAACGATGTAGTAGGGATGAATAGTACAGAGTGAGTTACCGTGCATGTTGCTTGATTGTAAACATCGAGATAGAATGAAGTAAAGATGACATAAACACTATTTTGCGATTTGACAAGTGGACGCAATTTGAGTCATTTTGATTAATTTTAAGTTGATAATTACATATTTGAAGATTGACGGAATGAAAATGTTTTTATATCATTTAAATAACACTAGCTCGAATTTGACATATGACGTTAAAGTGTGATGCAAAAGTGCAGACACTTTTAGTATCTTTATTGCATCTCTTCTTTATTCTATATCAATGATTAAAAATATTTACCTTACTTTGTGACGTCACACGCCTTGATTATGTGTGCGGTGCACACAACGTGGTTTAAGTTATTTTAAGCAGACCCATTGTTTCACAGGCTTTCGCGAAAACCTCTCGCTCCCTCGCGCTCATTCAGAATAGTGAACCACAGAGAGCGCTGCTCTCGTACTAAAATTATAGAGATTAAAACATAAACACAATAAAATTATTAGAATTGAATTTATATTTTTATGTTATTTATTTTAAAATTATGTGTTTTTATGAAATTTAATTGGGTGTTTACTGCACAAATGAACCAATGGAGAAACTCTCCCCTGAATTTAACCTCTTCTTCAGCCCAGTAAAAGCTTGCTGGCAGTCTGATGTCCAGTCAAAATGAATATCATTTTCTGTTAAGCCATGGAAGGGTTTGGTAATTTTTCTGAAATCTTTGACAAATTTTCTGTAGTACGCGCATAATCCAAGGAAGCTACGTAGTTCTTGTTTATCTTTTGGCCGAAGTCAGTTTCTTATTGCTTGTGTTTTAGAGGTAACAGTTTTTATTTTTCTGCAGTTACAACGTGGCCAAGGTATAAAACCTCTTTTTGAAAAAAGAAACATTTTCTGGGATTTAGCTTGAGATTGGCGTTTCTTAGTCTCGGAAAAAGCAAAGCAAGAGGAGGAAAAGATAAGAGAACATGAAAGACAAGAGAATAGTGAATTTCTCTTACCCATATCGAAGAAAAGAATATCCTAATTGAAGAAAAAGTAGGTAGAAAGTTATATCAAACAAGAGATATCGATAAACTTAATCAGCCAAAACTCCAATCCAATTACAGAACACACTGAATGTGCTACTGACAAGTTTTGACCGAAGCATTAATGCAGCAACTTACAATTTACCAAATTAAATTTTGACACCACCGACTTTTGACGGGAATACCTCATGGCCAATGTATCGACGACAATTCGAAGCAGCCGCCAATGCTTGCGGTTGGACCACAGCGGAAATGACGTTCTTAGTACTAAGTTTACGAGAACAAGCCCTAGATATGTTACAGAATATACCCGGCCAAGAACAATCCTGTTACGAGAGAGTTATAAATCCTTTAGAAATGCGATATGGCCACAGTAACCTTCAACATGTATACCAAACTGAATTACGACTAAGAACTCAAACCACTAATAATAAACTTCAAAGTTACGCAGTTGACATTGGGCGCCTAGTAAACCTCTATTCTTGATGGTATAGAAGATCAAGAAATGCAACAAACTTTGCGGCTTGTACGTCATCCCACCGCTGTCACCAGTTGAAACGACCAGAGGTTCTACTAAACAACTTTTATTTTAAATATATAATCAACTCTTTTTGATAACTCAACATCAACCTGACTGTTTCTAATTGAATCTGCCACTCTTCCATTAAGCCGGGTTGATATGCGCTGGCGTAACAATACCATGACAAGCATCATATGTCACTAAGAGAAAGAGAACCTCGAGTGTATGGCAGTTTTGTGACTTGTACTCTCTATTTTGTTATAAGTCAAAGTCGAGTCAAATCATTTTGTCATTTACTTCGGTAATCGGTTAACCAGTTTATTTTTATTACAAAGATATTAAATACGATTTAGCTTAATCTTCTTTTTTAAAACTTGGGTTTATCGGTCTTAGAGCTATTTTATTTGCATATAGGCTTGCTTCTATCTTTATGGCTCTGCTCTACAAAGACAATTTGCCAGCATATTAGGGGCTAAGGTCGATTTTGTTTGGTACTGTCACAGATGAAATATTGGTCCGGTTAACTAACCAAAGAAAACAGTTATAAAGCGGGGACAGAAGTGGGAAAGGCTTTTGCCAGTTCTTCCACTTCCTACCCAGGATTTGACAGTTTTGCCGCAGATCTAATCGAAGTGAACTCGAAACATTGGCGTAGAAAATATTTTATAAATGCTAATAACAATTTTGTAGAATTATGATTTAGGTTATTATTACATTTTTAAATAATTATTTGTAGCCCATAAATAGATATGTTTGCCCGATTCTGCCGGTAATAATTTAAAATGTTTGGTGTCATTTTTATTCTATGATACGACACTGTCGAAGAAACATCACTGCGAAATTCTCGGAGTCGTCCGACGTTTGACGTTTACCACCTCTTTACCTACCAACTTCTATCCCTGTTATACCTCTGACCAATCAGCAACCTTTTCAATATGGAGGTACCGTGGACCTCACATGGTTTGAAATGGGCCTTCTCTATTGGTTTATTGCCTTTATACATTATATTTTGCATTTTCGACAAGAGTGCTTTAGAGTTTTGCATCTTTTGTTTTGCACTACTGTAATAAAAGATGGAAGTAATTTATGTTAACCTTGATAAAAACGTCATATCAATGAAATTGTCATCTGATCTGATGTGAAGAGTTGATTTTGTATATTATTAAAAAATAACTATTTTATAAAAGATAAATACAGGATAGGAAAAAAATTTGGCTTACCGCCATATTTATTTTTTTAAATGGCAACGTAGGTCGAACGATATATCAAAGAAAAGTTTTTTGTCGCTTTCAAGAATACTAAAAAAAACTGCTGAATACAATACATGTAATAGTGGAACACATACATTAATTTACAAAAGTAACTAAAACAAAACAGATAACATTTATTCTTCAGTATAAATTACTTTATCTGTAGGTTAAAATACCGCGTCTAATAGAACTGTTTTTATTTATAATTTTCTTCGTATTGTTGCAGTTTTAAAACATGTCGGCCAAAGCCATAAGGGAAGCGACAGGTAAACAACTCATCAACAAACATCTTGGAGGTAACACGGCCGCCGCGCAATGCAGATTCGCGTCAGTGGACGAGAACACGAAGTTCGCCGAACTGGTGGCCAATAATCCATGGTTGAAAACCGAAAAACTAGTCGTTAAACCTGATCAACTCATCAAAAGGAGAGGAAAATTAGGTAAGCGATGATATTAAGGTAATGGTAAAGTCGTTAAATTAATCACTGATTGTAGAAAGGGTACTAGTCAAATGACTTGAACCTTCCTACACTCAACGTCATTTAATGCAGTTATTTTTATACCTCACATGTATTAGAACGTACTGTCATCTACAAAATCGACAAAAATATGACTTGGACCTTTCTGCAATCAGTGATTCAAATATCATAATGACCCTCTCTTAGTAACATAAAATTTATAGATCCACACCAAAGTAATTTCAATAAATATGAACATAAATTATAAACGGAATAGGTCCTTGTCCCGAGCCCTGCGGCACTCCGTTTATTTATCGTTTCTTCCAGGACTGATAGCTGTAAATAAAGATATACCTTTCGTGCAAAATTGGATAGCAGAACGTATGAACAAGGACCAGAAGGTCGGCAACGCGACAGGCAAACTACGAAGCTTTATCATCGAACCCTTCATCCCTCACAAGGAACAAGAAGAGACGTACGTTTGCATATACTCACACCGGTCCGGCGACACCATCTTGTTCTATCATCAAGGAGGCGTCGATATCGGAGATGTCGACAGCAAGGCTGTCAAATTGGAGGTTCCTGTTGGCGATACTATCGACGAAGCTAGTATTACAAAAGTAAGATCTATTTGCCAATAATAATAATAAGTGAATAAATAATAACATATGTATATTAAAGAAAAAACTACAAAATTTAATTAAAAGTTAAAAGATAAATTAAAAAATATATATTTAGGGAATAAGCAAACTTAACTTGCCATGTTATAATCACTATTTAATAATATGTCCAAACTTTTTGAAAAGATAATTAGACGTAATACACAACATAAACTTCCTATTGAATTATATTGTTTGGAGTCATTAAAAACTGTGATAGTACTGGAAAATTTAATTATATATAAGACAAATAAACTTGGGGCGAAAGTGGAAAATTGGTATTCATATGGAAATAAGTTATTTGTCGCAAAACAAAACCAAACAACACTTTTAAAACAGCACATTTAAATAAATAAGCTTAATTTCGCTTACCTCTGATACACAGTTCGATATATAAAACTTTTACTTTGAAGTAATATTAAGTGGTTTCGGGACATAGGGTCCAGAAGGCACGGTCACGGCTAGAGCAGTCTTTCGCCCGGAGTTTCGGGCACAGGCCCTCTGCTAAAGTCTCTTTCTGTCGACTATTGACTTTCTATTTAAAAAAAAATGTACGTGACAGTTTAATTATTATTTCAACAAAAGTTATAGGAGCTGAATTTTTGATTTTTTTGTCCACGTTTAGGTTCTACTAGGCGAAGTATCTGCAGCCAAAAAACCGATGATCGCTAAATTCATTTACAACTTGTACAAATTATACGTCGACTTATTCTTCACCTACCTTGAAATTAATCCGTTAGTAGTGACAGACAAGGAAATATACATTTTGGATTTGGCGGCGAAATTGGACGCCACCGCCGATTTTGTTTGCAGGCCACAATGGGGTGAGATCGATTACCCCCCGCCTTTCGGACGGGATGCGTTCCCAGGTAAGTTTGTTGTTTTTTTTTGTTACATTAGGTAAGTTTGGACAGACAAGTCCTCACTCCTTTGACTCTTTTAACTCCAAACGACCCTTTTAGAGTTCGATTTTCTCCAATTAGTGACAGTTCAACACACTTAAATGTCATTTAAAAGCACCCTAAAAACTTAGCGCCTGTCCCGTTCCAGTCTCTGGCTAATCCGAATGCTATTAACAAAATTAGTGGCTAAAACGCCTCGTTAAATGCTATCTTCTGGTGTAAACTGATGTAAATCGTTGCAAGAAACAAATAATGACTGAGAGTGTACGATACGATAGTTACAGGCGCGTTACACCACAAGGCAGCACTTAACAAGGCGTTTTAGCCACTAATTTTGTCGAATTTTAAAAAATCATTAACAAGACATTAAGAGCTCAAATTTGGGGATTATATTAAGAATATTGCTGTTGAGGAATGCATTTATTTTCATTATGATATTTCAAAATTTAAAGCTCGTTGATTTTTTTCTCTCGGATACTGAAAGGATTTAAATCTTCAAAATATATGCTTATCTAGATTATTACCTAATTTATTTTGGCAAAATTTTAATTTTCTAATAAAATTACTTTTTGAAATATCCTTATCCTAAAATTATAAGGGGTGTATTCACCTTAAAAAGAATATGCAAAAAATATATCAGATCTTTTATTTTTATTTTGCTTTAATAAATTAATAAAAATTAATCCTCTTAATATTTGACTGACTCTCGTATATTGTCATATGGAGATTTGTAGATTATTTGAAAATCTTTCGAAAACCAATTTACTATATACAGCTACTAAAAAACATACTTCACTTTTTATAAAAATAAAAAACAATAGATATTTATAAAAATTACACAATACTTATTACTTGTACTACTAGTCAATGACCTCACAATCGCTACATTATTATATTTAAATTTTGGGGAAAACCCAACTGTAAAAGAGGATTATCCTACCTCAGTGAAACAGTGAACAAATTGAATCATAAAAACAATTATACACCTATTTAACTTTGTGTTGTTATCTACGCATACATCTTTTATGAATTTAAAAAACTATGTAAAATCAATAGATTAGTAAGGCAAATCAGTATATTAGTAGGTGATGTATGAAATCAGAAGATCTACTCAAAAATCAGTAGATCTGGTAACACTGTACACTACCTTAATGTCGCAAAAATATCGCCACGACCTGGTCCCTTTAGAGTGTTAAAATCGTGGAAAAATTCCCCAACATGTCATCCAATTTCCATTTAAAAAAATACGAATTAGATAATTTTGAATGACTTTTTGTTGTAGAAACTGTTGAATAGTAATATTAAACCATCCATAGAGCCTTAAATCATAAAAAAATTGTCTTAAAACTTTAGTTTTCTTTCTAAAAAGTTTGTTTAAACATTTGTTCCATCTCTAATTTTACAAATATCAAAAAATTATATTATTGCCAGATAACTAATTTTACCTAACCTGTACGGCTTAGAGCCATCGTGCGTTAAAGTTACTTCGCATAAATAAATAAAATGAGAAAAATAAAAATAACTAATTTACCCAACCTATGCGGTCTAAAGCCATCGCGCGTTGATTTGCAAAAAAAATACACAAAATGAAAAAATAAAACTAAAAATTTGACCAATTTATCTAACATGTGCGATCTAGAGCCATTGCAGGTTGCTTTGCAAACAAATACAGGGTGGCGCATCCTATACGCGTCGATCTCTGTAGGGAAAACGACTTAAAATTTGAATTTATTTTCTTAATAGGGATATACATATTAAAAATAATTTGTATTATACAGGGTAACCCAAAAATAGGAATTTATATCAAAGTTATGTTTTTTTAAAGGGAACACCCTTATATTTGATGGTGTCTTTTTCTTCCCCGGAAAAAATAAAGCAAAGTTTCTGTAATGTTTCCTATACCTATCTTTTTTCGTTTTTGAAACATTTAAAGGATTCTTAATTTGTAAGCTTGAACATCATAATCTAGTATGTCGCGGTTATTTAAAACACATCAACAGTCACCTGCGATATGCGTAGCCAAGATATTAGACTATCGAATAAAATGCAAACTTTTCCATTACATCATACAGGGTGTTCATTTAGTCTTCATTTAGTCTGAATTCAAATTAAATATGGAATTGAACAATATTCTTATTTTAAATGGCACACCCTGTATTTAATAACTTAAACAGATTTCCCTATACCTAAATTCAACCCCTATACATAAATTCGACGGTTTTTAGTAAATATCTGTTTTCATGGTTAACATAGCTAATTTTTGTAAATACTCTTTCCCGTCAAAGTGACCATTGAATTTAAATGTCAAATGCGAGTTTGACATTTCTATTTAGTAAGTTAGATATCAAATGTACGAAAAATCGAATTCGAAACATGAAAACTTATTCTAAAGCAGAGAGAATTGATATGGTGCTTGTTCTTGGTGAGTGTCATGAAAACTGTTTATTGGCTTCTAGAGTTTACGGCCAAAAATGCCCATATCGAGAGAAACCTGACAGACGTGCTTTTGAAAGATTACTACAACAGTTTAAAGTTAGCGGAAACGTAGATTATAAAAAAATAATTCAGCCTCGACCTATTGTAGGAGATCATGATAATAAATTTTGGGTTATTGGCTCACTAATAGAAAACCCACACACAAGTCATCGGGCTATTAGTAGAGAAACTGGAATAAGTAGGAGAAGTATTGAACGAATAATAAAAAAAAACAAGTTTCATCCTTGTAAGATACAGCTGCACCAAGAACTGTATTAAAGGGACTTTTCAACAAATAATACATTTTCATTATTATAGCGATGAAAATCCTAACGTCTTTCGTACTTTCGATCATCAGCATAGGTGGTCCTTGAATGTGTGGGGAGGAATATTAGGTTTACATGTTATTGGTCCTTATTTTTTTACCGGTCATCTTAATGGCAGAAAATTTCTAAAAATTTTGCGGAGAAAATTTTTTTTATGGGAACACATACAAAGTATTGTTTATAACACCCAACCAACTACTCCGGAAGATATGAAAGCTAGAATAAGAGCTGCTTTTCAGACAGTAACTGGATAAATTATTCTCAAAGTGAAACGATCCTTTGAAAAACGAGTTCAGTTGTGTTTAGAACAAGATGGGCGTCACTTTGAACATTTTTTATAATTCTTGTTTTGTTTTCAATTCGTTTCTTACTCTTTTTCATTAATTTGTGTGTACTTTTTAAATAATTAAAATTTTCTTGTCATTAAGAGGAGTATTTACTTGGCTGTAGAGCGGTGCATGCAAGAGTTTCGTAGTACCCCCACTTTTAAAGTTTATTTTTGCCTCATTCTGAAAGAAAAAAATATGTTCGTGTAGGTAAAGGATAAATCTATGCTCCTCTGGAGACACTTTTTTAAAATTTGAAACTGTTTTTTCTAAAAAAAAAAAAAATAAAAACTCGACTTTTTTTACTCATTTTCTCAATTTTGTTTAGAAAAAACTAAATTGAATTTAGAAAAAGTGGTTCCAGAGGAGCATAGATTTAACCTTTACCTACACGTACATATTTTTTTCTTTCAGAATAAGTCAAAAATAAACTTTAAAAGTGGGGTACTACGAAACCCTTATATGGCAAGATTTTTCGTCTGGAAAGTGGCGCCTCTGTTAGATTTTTAAGAAATTAATATTTGTGAATGAAAACAATTTATAATATATTTTACTGATGTTTTACGAGGGATGAATAAATTTTACTTATTTGTACACCTTATTTTTTACGTAATTTATTTCTTTAATACTAAGATTGGTATATATATTATACGCAAGGGTTTCATAGTACACCAATTTTACGGATTATTTTTTAATTTTACTAAAAGAAATTTTATGTAAGTACAGGTAAAGGCTTAGCCCATACCTCTCTGGAGTCACTTTAAAAATATGAGTCAGTCTCTTTTGAAAAAAATCTAAGAAAAGAAACGAAAATAAATAAAAATGTTAAAAAATGCTAGAAGAGAACAATATATTTAATTTTTGCCTACAGGAGCATTTATTTTTATTACAATAAAAATAGGAATACGTTAAAAGCTTTTTCGTCTAGATGGTGACACCAACAAAATATATATCTTTTTCTACTATTTAGTGATAAACAGTACGTAAGTGATTTGAATTCATGTTGTTATTGTTTACATACAGTAATTTTATCATTTATTTATTAAAAATATATATACTCGAAATTGGAAGGTATGCACTGAGATGTGAATTATAAATATGTTTTTGTTTAATGAATACCTCTTCGAGTTAACAATAATTATTAATTCCAGCATGTTAATATCTCTTCAATCTGTTAAATAAAGTAATGTAAATATTTTTTCTTGCTTTCGCGCATGGCTTTGATCTGTCGCACCCTTTGAGGCGCGTTGCAAGAGAAAATTTTCTAAAAAGTTATCCAATTTCTATAAATGAGAAAAAACGATTTTGACAAGCTGATTGTGCATTGTGGCACAATAAAAGACAAGTCACTGCTTTAAAATTTGGAGAAATTTGTAAAAAATTTCCTAAAATCTTTTATTTATTTGTAAAGCCACCCGATATGGCATGGACCATAAATTCAGAGCAAAATAAGATATGGAAAATTATTTGCAAGTAAAAGTTTTTAAATGTGGACATTTTATTGAATTCGAATTGGATTATGTTGCTGCCAGTCTGGATGGAATTAAAAAAAAAACAATACTCTATGATAGAGTTAAAATGTCCATATGGAGCTGAAGTGCTAACTGTAAAAGAAGAAATATACAGTAGAGAAATAACTTTTTGGAAAAAGAAAAATACCATTAAGGAGAACCACTATTGGTATTTTCAAATTCAGGGTTAGCTGCAGATAACACAAATGGATTTTTGCATTTTGTGCTTTTGGACTTCTGGAGGAATACAAATGGAGAATATATCTCATAATGACAGCTTTTGGGAAGAAAAGATACAAAATAAAATTAAAAATTTTTATATGCAATAT